ACCCTGTTGACTATTTTGAATGAAACGCTTGATTGTTCAATGATCACGCTTCAGAAGCTTGGCAATTTTAAGAGTGCTGCATCCCTCTGCAAGATATCTCACTATTTTTGACTTTTCTGAGCCTGTCAAGTCCCTCTTCTGACCCATTTTGCCAAAGGAAAGGAAGTTGCCTAATAATTATGCACACCTGATATAGGGTGTTGATGTCATTAGACCACACCCCTTCTCATTACAGAGATGCACATCACCTGATATGCTTAATTGGTAGTGGGCTTTCGAGCCTATACAGCTTGGAGTAAGACAACGTGCATAAAGAGGATGATGTGGTCAAAACACTCATTTGCCTAATAATTCTGCACTCCCTGTATTTCTCCCTGGATGGATTATTTAGGCTGCCTAGAGAATCCTATGACTTTGCACTTTCCCTCTGACTGTCTTCTGTCTAACAGGAATTTACTGTAAAATTGAGTGTGAAAGGACTTCAAGGTGGTGGGAAATAAAAATGTACCCAACAAACAATTTAAATCCAGTAAAATATTTGAAGCAGTAAGAGCTCCTTCTGTTTGTCCGTCTCCTCTCAGGGGAAGTTGGTGAAGTACTTCAGCCGCCAGCTGTCCTGCAAGTGCAAAGTGGCCTTAGAGGAGCGCAGCGCTGAGCTGGAGGACTTCCCTCACCTCGGCCACTGGTTCCAAATTGTCAACTTGAGGAAAGAGGTCACGCAGGTAAGATTTGGTTTTTGGATTATATATATTATATATAGCTACTGAATAATCATGATTAATCATGATTTAATTGCAATTTATCATAATTTAATTGCGATTACCGTATTTTTCGGACTATAGGACTTTTTTTCATCCTTTGGCTGGGTTTGCGACTATATGACATATATTATTATAATGTATAATTTTGTTTGTCAATGTAATTAATGTTTGTTATTTTCACACTGACAGCAGCTAGAGGGCACTCTAGGCGTGTGTGCCAGTATCTGCTACTCCTGTACCACTGAAAATTTACGTTTGTTATTTTCATACTGACAGCCGCTAGAGGGCACTCTAGGCTTTTGTATCAGTATCTAGTACTCTTGTACCACTAAGAAATTTATATGTTCGTTATTTTCACACTGACAGCCACTAGAGGGCACTGGTGGGACTTATACTCTAGAGCGTCATATACAGTGGTATGAAAAAGTTTGGCCACAAAAGATCATTTTCAAGATTTTCCTTTATGTATCATTGGTTGTTCGGAACAGCAATTTCAATTAAATATATCATATAGCAAACAAACACAATGATATTTAAGAAGTGAAATGAAGTTTATAGGATTTACAGAAAGTGTGCAATAATTACTTAAACAAAAGTAGGCAGGTGCATAAATTTGGGCGCCCCAACAGAAAAATCATCAAACAAACATCAATATTTAGTAGATCCTCCTTTGGAAGAAAAAACAGCCTCTAAATGCTTCCTATTGCTTCCAATGAGGGTCTGGATTCTGGTTGAAGATATTTTTGACCATTCTTCTTTACAAAACATCTCCAGTTCAGTCAGGTTTGATGGCTTCCGAGCATGGACTTCTTCTTTCTTCTTTTTCTTTCGGCTTTGTCCCTTTTTTTCAGGGGTTGCCACAGCAAATCATTGATTTCCGTCTCTCCCTGTTCTCTGTATCTTTTACTCTGACTCCAACTATCTGCATGTCCTCCCTCACTGCATTCATATATCTCCTCTTTGGCCTTCCTCTCTTTCTCCT